ATATAAAGATAAGCCTCTTTTTTAAATACACAAAGCGTTTACAATTGAAAAACAATCTTGTGAAAGTAGGGTTTGTTTGGAGGGGGGTTTTGTGTGTGCAATGCTGCTGTTTCCTGGATACTTTAATGAAGCATGTCCTATGTACCCTCTGAGGCTCTGCACTGCCCACTTTTGCGGCCCCTCTTCACCTCTTTGCTGCTCTGCTGTTTTATCTTCACTTGGACCTTAAACACAACTCATGGACACTATGCAGAGAGTCTTCAAGAGGCAATAAACAGAACAGTATTAACCTGCTTTTGTGGAGATTTGATCATGCTTCTTTGTACAGTTTTTTTTTTGTTTTTTTTTTTTTAATTTAAAAAGGAATGTAATAAAATGGCTTCTTTTTTTTTTTTGGTAGAATTAAATATTATTATTAAAATCAAGTGTAAGGTTGACTTGTGGTATTAAGCAGGAGAAGTGGACTAGCTGGTCCAGCAACAAAAGGGGGTTCAGTGGCCTGGATATTGTCAAGTCTTTTCTTCCTAAACCCTCAAGTGCACAGGTTGTATCTGAAGAATATAACGGTCTTTAACTTCCGTGAAGAGCTGCAGAAGCACAGAACTAAAAGGAAGCTGATTTTCTGGTCACTGAGCAGTACACTGTTCTTCAGAAACTCTTCTCCCCTTGTGTATCTAAGGGGAATTTGGATGTTGGTTCTTTTCTTTGGTTTTTCTTTTCCTTTTTATTGGTAGATGCTTGCACTCATTGAGTAGCTGATGGGTCAACCTTCACCTTTTCAGCTGTGGCTCACATAAAGCCAGTGTGGAATAGAAACAGGGAGTCAGCTGGTATAGTAGGATCTCTGTACTTCTGTCACAATAATGTCTTTAAGGCAAAAGAACAGGTAACTGAACATTCTGGGCTGTTTTTCAAGGCTCCATTCTATTTTGTGGAGAAATGTTGTGTTACACAGTAACTTTACATTTCTCTCACCCTTTCAGAATATCCAAATAACATTTTACCATAATAAAATAGGTGTAGTAAATAGCCATGAGATTTTTTGACGAACAGTGGGTTGAGAAACTTGCTGTTTGGTTCCTTTGTGATAAGATACTCCTCTGTGGTTGGTGCTTCCAAGCAATTTTGGAGATAAGTCTGCGTAGTGATCAGGAAAGGAGGCAATATTTGAAACAACATATATGTTTGTTTATACGTAGGTTATTGACGTTACATATGAAAACCCTACTTGAAGATTTACTGGTACAAATGGTACTTGTCTGATGTATTTACTCACTATTTATCAGTTGCTTCTGAAATAGTGAAAGGTACGAAATGATATGGGATGCAGAGTAAGGTTCTTGCTTTTAAGTAAAAAACAAACAAACAAACAAACAAACAAAAAGAGTATCCAAGTATGACCTGTTGTAATCAGGCCAGTCAGGCCAGTATTTCCCATTGAAGGTGAACTTCACAGACCTCAGTTTTATATGCTGTATTTCCTTCATTTCCATATGCTGAAAAAACACGTGCTAAACTTTCATATAGTTGCACTAAAACTGCCTGCATATTTGAGTTTGGAATTTTATGCTGAAGAAGTAATCAATATACAGCTGGATATAATATCTTACAGTGATAGAAATATTTCTGTATTTCTTAATTTTGAAAAAGCCACTTAGAAACTCTCTTACAACAATAAGTTTCTTAAACTACACCTGATTATTATTATTATTACTATTATTTTGTAACAGTGGAGACTTTCTTCTGTTCAATTTAACATGTTTCTAATTGATGTCTTGCTATGTCAATGTATGGATTGTATCTTAAGCTTTGTATTTAATGCTTTAGTGTGTTTTATAAAAAATTGTAATTCAATGTTACACCACATCATTCATAATGCAATAATAGAAGGTCAATGCTTGATGAGTATGTGGACTGTTAAAGCTTCTTATTCTGAACTAGTGGTAACTATTTGTGCATTTTCTTCTACTTTGTGAGCTATCTTTCATGTGAGTTACTTATTCAGGAAGTATTCTCTGGAGCACCAGTGTACTTCAGATGCAAAGGATACTTCTTAAGATATTATATTGGACTTCAAAATTCAACACGTGACACCAGTGACATTTGTGAAATCTTTTCTCCCTCTTGTGAATATCTGTCAGTTAAATACCTAAGTGACCCTAGGGGCTTAGAAAGACATCATGAAAACAATTTGCATGTACAATATCTTTCTCACGCCTCACTCTTTTTGAGAAGGTTTATGGGCATTATGGCTGGTGCAAGATAAACGACCCACTTCTGTTCTCTCTGTGGAATTGTAGGTGCTCAGACAGGTAACTTCTGTTGCTACTGTCTTTTTTTAATTTTTAAATTTTTCACTGTTCTAGGAGCTGTTTTAAAATGAACACTGCAGGTTTCATAAATCTTCGTAAAGTACTATAAACTGCAGTATTTATAAACCAGATTTTCTTTCTTTCTTTGTTTTGAGGGTCTTTTTGGAGTATTCTTGTGGTGGATCTTGCTGGCCTCTCATATTTGTTTTTAGTTGAAAAGATTTTATTTATTCATTTAAATTGATGGCAGAAATTTGATGCATGAATTTTGGATGGGTTTTGTTGTTGCTCTATTCTGTGTGACTTACTCTCCCTCTTTTTTTTTTTTTTTTTTTTTAAACAAATATTTTCTAACAGTGTGCACTTTCTTACTGTTCTCTGCAAAACTTTTCAGGAGCCAAAAAAGTCAAACAAGTCAGAGAAAACTTTTCCTTCTCCCCTTTCTGATGACAAGAATGAGAACTTATGAAAAGTCCTTGAGAATGTTCCTTCCTAAACTTTTCCTCACAGTAATGCAAGCGGGTAAAATGGTAAACGCTGCAGTTTGGTGACGTCTAAAACCACCCTGTTGTCAGGTAAATTGACTTTTTCTGTTCTAATTGTAACCTTCATAAGTTTGGTAACTTGTCTGCTTTCCTCTCTTCCCATTTTCGCTATTGGTCCATTTTGGTCAAACTTCCTTGAATGATTTATTTAGCAGTGTAATTTAGATAAAATTATACTTCTTTATTTCCTCTTGTTCTACAGGTTGACCTTTTAAGAAATCTGTCAGTGTCCTTTGCTTTACTCAGATGAGACAAAAATGAGGACAGGATTAAAATCCTCTCATGTAGATACCTGTAGATACCTTAATTCCAAAATTCAGTAGAGCAAAATCCAGTGAAGAAGGCAGATGGGGGGGCTGATTCTTTTTGTTTGTGAAAGATGAGGAATGCACTTCATGTTGTCTTCACTGATAGATCTAAGAACTTGTACACTTTATCCTTCTCTGTTAACTCCCTTCCTTATTCTCAAACCACGTTAAAGATGATAAGAATTTCAAGGTTTTTTAACTTAATGTGTAGAGGAGAATGTGTACTTTGTATACAGAGATAAATATCACACAATTGGAATACATGACTTCATACAGGTTCCCAAATTTCCTGTTGTGGTATTTTGTTTCCTATGACATGTGTAAAGATTTAGTACTCATTTCAGATGTTTTTTCAACATAGGTTGTTCTGAAAGGAATGCCTCCTCTTTATATCCAAGGAAACCACAGATGTAAAGAGCACAATAACAGTAACTCATAGAGCAAATTCTCAGCTTCAAAATGCTGTTTTTCAGCCTAGTCACCATCAGTAGTCTGTCTAGGTTCCGGGAAATCTGGAAAGATCACCTCTTTCTTAACCCAAAAGACAGTGCACATCGCAGTGCATCTTGAACTTCTTTGTTCGATGAAGAATTCACATGTCACCACTCCATGAACTGCGGTTTTGATTATGTGAATGCCAAACAAGAAATTCTTCCATATGCCCTTCTACTGCAGCAGAATGGTAAGTGTTAGGTGGCAGTAACAACAGCAGAAGAAACTCATGTGACTGTGGTGTGAGACATCTACGGTATTAGGAAAAATGGATTGCAAAATATTAACCGGAGTAAGGGGAGTGGGGGACGTATACAGAGTCTGTGAGTTGTCCCTTTTAATGCTGAGCCTAATTTACTGAATTAAAATAATTAAAAGACTAGGTGTAATACAGTAGAAACACAGGTCTGTCTAATTTGGTATTTGGTTACCTGATGTCCTTGTTGTGGT